CAAATTATCTTGCCTTATGCCATTCAGAATTGTACTTGCTTTCTGAAGGCCATGTCGCCCATGCAATCAACTGTGGGGCTAGCCAATGAGAAAGTCGGTGTTTGGTCCTCCCAGGCAAGTTTGGTACCAGTTTGTTGGCTGCGGAAGAATGGAAAGTTTGGTTTGCCTGAGCGGTTTTGGGATTTGATACCCATGGTGAAACGGTCACTCGAAACACAAACACAACATTAAGGCTGCGTTTATACTTTGCGGCGTAGCGTAGCGTAGCGTAGCGCTTCCAGCGTACGCCAGCGGCAGTGCCGAAGAGAGGATGCATATCGATCTAGCTTCACCAGCGTCACCAGCGGCACGCTAGCGTACGCCAGCGTTTCTCCAGCGTTTCACCAGCGTTTTGCTAGCGTTTGCAGCGGCAGGGGAGTAGAGACTATGTGGCAGGCAGAGACGCGGAATCGACGCGTATTGTAGAGACTATGGGGCCGTCGAAGACGCAGAAGCGATGTGCATTGTAGAGACTATGGGGCCGCGAAGACGCAGAAGCGATGTGCATTGTAGAGACTAAGGGGCCGTCGAAGACGCAGAAGCGATGTGCATTGTAGAGACTAAGGGCGAGTGAGATACGCGCAATCGATGTGCTTTGTACCCTCCAGCTCTCCCATAGTCTCTACTCCCCTGCCGCTGCAAACGCTAGCAAAACGCTGGTGAAACGCTGGAGAAACGCTGGCGTACGCTAGCGTGCCGCTAGCGTACGCTAGCGTGCCGCTGGTGACGCTGGTGAAGCTAGATCGATATGCATCCTCTCTTCGGCACTGCCGCTGGCGTACGCTGGAAGCGCTACGCTACGCTGCGCGACGCACGCTACGCTGCCGCCAAAGTATAGAAGCAGCCTAAACTTAGCCAGCATCAGGCTTAATCCGCTAATTTTATATAGTTTCCGTGTCTATTTATTAGTTACGAAATTTCATAGCGGCGAGTACGGTATGAACCACTGGCTCGCACTGATTCAAGGGTAGAAAGGTGAGAGAACGGGTGCAATTTGAAATCTTGAATGTAGCTGTAGAGGGACGGCAGAAAATTTAGTCGGCTGTAAGAGGCCAGTACATTTCAAATTGAATCCTATGATCTGTAATCTACCTGTTACAGCTGCGATTGGTCGGAGAATGAGGTGACACCACTTGGATCCGCCTACTTTCTGATATCTGAAGTGGTTGCGCTAGGAGTTGTCGTCAGAAATTTGAAGTAAGTTCGAGAAAAGAATGTCTTCTACCTGTTTACTTTCTATTTTAGAGGTGCAATTTTCTTATAGTTCATCTTTTATTCTTGTAGTTCCTGAATTAGTGATGCTGTTTTTAGTAATGAAGGCACCGGTGCAGGTGTTGGTCAGATGTCGGTGGGATCAACGGCAAGGCCGAAGCCTCCACCTCTTATGTTGCAATTTGAGGGAAAAAACTTCTCACGGAAATTCGTACCTGATTCTGCTCTGGTAAGTTGTTATTGATTTGATTCATGGTCGTACTGTGAACGCTCCTTGTTCTGCTTATGTTTGTTCAGCATTTCAGGGACATGCACCTGCCATAAGTGGCCAATAAATGAGAAAGGAAGTTTCGCGGAAATTTTAAAGTCAAAAAATGAACGTCAAAACGCCGAAGAAGTGCACTTCAACTCGAAGAAGACTTCACGATGAATCCAACCAAACCACTCGTGGGATATTTAGAATGTTTTGGACAATGTATCTGTTCATGTTGCCAGCAGCAGGCAAATGACCACAATGCGTCAAAACTAAAAAAAATCACAAAGGCGCAGCTACCGCCAACGTTTGTAGAAGTAACGCCAGCCACGCCCAACTCCATCCCACGAGGTTCTGAAGTGTATGTCAGCAAGAGCTTGCCCGTGAAGGAAAAACGGCGGCAAAAATCTTTGAAAAGGCTTCTTATAAATTTCATGATTCCTTTCCGCCTAAGAGCTTCGCAAGACTTATTGTTATTATTTATGGTCTGACGTCTTGACTGAATTTTGAGGAAAATAAATGAGTTTGACTTCGAATAAGACCCTACTCGTGCCATGCGAGAGACAAATATATCGAAGCGGTGCATCGACGATGAAGGCCAGGAACAGCAGCAAGAGCTCTGCAATCAAGCAAGGTAGCAGATAAACATTTATCAAAGTAGGCAGTCACTTGAGTGCCCTACCCGCCGCTACCTTACCACTTCCTGACGTGGAACTTGTACATGGTCATTCGTTTCCGTCCATATTGCCTCTTCTACGAGAAGCTTAGATAATCATGAGTGATCGTGGGCTCTGCCTTCAAATAAGAAGCACGCAAAATTAAATTGACTAATAAGAAACGCCTACGGCGTGCTGATGAGCGAAGGACCCCTATTCATAACCGTTTCTTGTACTCCAGAAAATTGGGTAAGAACTGCAGGGGGGGGGGGCAAAAAAAGTCACTTCGACCGAGTCACATATCAGCAAAAAGTTTCGCAGCCCAGAGAGAAGACGTACCAGGGCGGAAGATACCCAAGATGTTCCTCGATAAGCAGGAGCTGGCCCTCGCCCATCACCTTCATGTACACCAAAATATGAAGTCATCTCCAGTCGCAGCCTGACTGGAGAAGACCTTTGGAATTCATGTCACCTCCAAACAGCTGCGAAACTTCTAGTGTGGAGTCACCCATGGGGACCAGTACTCTCGATCTGGAAGACCTCCAACATCGAGCAGCTCCGACAACGTCGCTACGGTCTAGGACATCATCTTCACCGCAGTCGCCAAGGCGCGGGTTGATGGTATGGACCGGACGTACCTGGAATGGAAAGACCGATATTTTCTTCGTGGACCCCGGACTGAAGGTGAGCGCTGGCGGTTACATCGAGCAACTCGAGAAGAATATCCTCTCCACATGTCGTCGCCCGTACCTTCTTGGAAACTTTGTACTGCTACAGCATTGGGTGCCACCACATGGAATCGAAGGGAGAAACTCTCGCCTACTTGGAATGGAAGGGGGCTGAGTACCTAAAGAAGATGGAATATCCAAGTAGGTCACCTGACCTGAATCCCCTCAATTACCCGGTTCGGGCGGAGTTCAATAGGGTGGTCTACGGTGGCGGAGAAATCGACTATCTCGCTGATCTCAGGGACCACATCGCGGTTGCGTGCCAGAATCTCTCGATGGCGCTCCTCCAGAAGGCTGTGGCGGAGTGTCATAATAGTATTTAATATGCTCTTTAATATGGTGGTAGAAATGTCCGATCAGATTTATAAAGTGTAACTTATAGCGCCTCGAAAGTCAATGAAGCATGACTTTTTTGGCCTCCCTGTATACACCAAATAACAAACAACAATTATTTCAATTATAATGGTTAGTTTTTTTTCGAAAGTGTCACATTTTCAGCTCTCGTTTGAAGTGGTGCGAACGGAAATAGAAGGGGAGAAGACGATGCTCTACAAAAGTGAACCGCTGAAAAATTCATCACGTGTGCCTTGGAAGCCGTTCACATTGTTTTGCCAGGAAGTCAGCGATGAAACAACAAGGTTGCAAATCTTCTACGAACATTACGGTTTAACAACGTTGCCTCAGTTGCCGGTTTCTCAAAATCGTTTTTGCAGGCAGTTAGAGGTTGTCTGTTACTTCAAGGACGAAAAATACCGTAACAGCATTGCCGGCAGTTTCACCACCACTCATCACGAGCTTCGAACTGCTCAAGAACCATTCACGGTAAGTGATCTGCTTTTCTTTGTTGATTTATTGGTACATTTCTATCCTTTCAGTTAACAAATCCTCTGTTCAAAGGACGTCAGAAGGTTTGCGCTCAGTTCGACGTACTCAAACGCACCGAACTAACTATCTGCTCTTTCCTAGATTACATAAGCTTTGGGTGAGTTTTGTACCGAACAGTGGTCAAAGCAGTGAAAGCTTTCGGTTCTATTACTTTTGAATTCATAAACGTTGAATTGAGCTATATCTCCCAGTTTCGCTGATTTCCATGAACCGAAACTGCGAAACTGCCCACAAAATCGGACAGTCATGCACACTAGTCGTGCCAACAACATTTCCTACAACTGGACGTTCATGGTTGGGAGAAAAACAATAACTCCTTCTCTGTGATTCACTCAAACAGACACCTCTTGGGAGCGCTCCCTTCTTTCATTATGGGGGCTGGGTCGGACCTTCATGTACACTCCTCATCATTACGGACTGTCGGGGCGTATCAGCCAGAAGGAGTGCGCACACTGTTTGAAGCCGTTCTCAGCCTTTTCTTTGAAACGCGTATGCGACAAAAAGTGGTAGAAAACGAGTAATACGAAGGATATAATGCTGTTGAA